CAGCTAAATCTCTTTACAAACTAAACCAGTGGTCTCCAAGCTTGGCCACTTTAAGACTTGTGGACTTCAACTCCCAGAGTTCCTCAGCCAGCAAAGCTGGCTGAGGAACTCTGGGAGTTGAAGTCCACAGGTCTTAAAGTGGCCAAGCTTGGAGACCACTGGTTTAGTTTGTAAAGAGATTTAGCTGCATCTATTTTTGTAACATTCACCTTGGGTTACCCTGGAAGCTTTGTTCTTAGCTACCAGTTAACACTCTCATTTTATAGGTGTTTATTCGTAACTAAATAAACTAAACTATATAAACTAAACTAAACTAAACTGTATAAATAAAATCTGGGCTGTATGCAAGTTAATATATTCGGCCAGGATTTAGTTTTGAACCTCTGGAGTCTTTCTTGCCATGCACAGAAAACAAAGTCCTGGGCATTCAGTGCAGTTGCTCAACCGCTGATATGCAGCTGTTTGGCCATTCTCAAGAACTGGTGGGTTTTTGGGGATCGTCCTTATTGAAATCCTAACCACAAAGGTGCTTTTGAAGGGGGATATTTATGTTAGCTCACAGAATATCCTGGCTGCGGAGGTGATATACTTAGTTTCCCCGGCTTCATACTTTTATGTTTGAGTCCCAAGAGAGCTTTGGAAGTTTGTTTTTCAGAGTGACTTTGAGGATGGGGGTCTCTGGGATTTTTTAATGATCTATAGTGCTTTATTTGACTTGAATTTATGAGTTAATCATTGTTTAATCTTTCTATCACAAAGTGGCTATCTCTTTGGTATTCAACTTTTAGAGTTAGAACTGCTTATGTGTTAAAACGTTTAGGCTGTGTGTCTGTGTACTTTACTGTAAATCTAATTTAATTGATATTTCTTTAGTTCTGTAGAATCCTTGGTTTTTAAGTAAATGTATATTTTTAAAAATAACTCCTGGTAATCTAAGATTTTAATCACAATTATTTTTTTGTACATGTCCAAAAAGATTATGCCACTTTGCTGGCTACTTTTATGAAATTTACAGCAGTCTGTAATATTCATTGCAATGCCTTTTTTTTCCCCTTTTAGAATGGGGAACAATGCATCTGCTGCTACAGCGATATCTAATACTGCTATAACAAACCAAATACAAGTGAGTAAACGGGGTTGGTGTAAATGCTGCTTCTTGTGGGACAGGGACTTTACTTTTTCTAAAGTATAAACTGTAATTCTGAGTCATGTTTTTGAAGTCAAACACATATTGTTTATAGCTAAGAAGTCCCTCCCAACATTGTTCCAGCTGTTGGTTTTTCAGTTTTTCGCTCTTTCCGGTTTCAAAACGGCAGGAAATTGTACTGTCAGTTTTTTGTTTTTTTTACAGTCATAATTAACTCCCACCCCACCCCAGGGCAGTATAGAGCATTTGAGAGCCACATATGGTCCTAAAACAGCCGTTCATCATGCACCAATGCCTTTTAACAGTACTGGAAGTGTGTCCTAGTCAAAGCAATTCAATCTATCTAAAAAGTTTGTGTTAATTTGTACCAAGAAGCCTTTGGACACAAACTTCTTGGAAGTAGCAGAAATACAATAGATTCTTAACTATTTTAATTGGGAGTGTTAGCAATCCTATTCAAACTAAATAATGAAACTTTGAAAAGTGGAAAACCATGTTGGCAATACAATAGTACTTTGATCATGCCCTCCCTTTTCAATGAAAACATGCTAGCTGATTCATTTGTTAGTATAGGCTGAACTGGAACATTTTAATTATTTGAGGGGTGTGTATAATATTGAAGGCTATAGTTATGTATTCTTCTTTAACACACAAGTATGTAGAATGTGTTTCTTTAAGCAGTTGCTTTTTCTCCATTATACAAACATTATATTTCGAGCCAGACATGTTTGTTGAATAGGTTACAATTGTCTGGATTCACATAAAACCCTAAACACTGAAGTTTATTTGGATTTCAAATGGACTTTTAATCCAGCCACTAACTCTTCCTGTTTCCCTTATGCATACTTCTCATCGTATCAATTTTTATTTCAACCCACAGGATGCTATATCAGATAATTGTGTTGTGATCTTCTCAAAAAGCAGTTGTTCCTACTGCAAAATGGCCAAGAGACTATTTCAAGAAATGAATGTCAATTATAAAGCCATAGAACTTGATAGATATGAAAATGGAAGTCAGTTTCAAGATATTCTTCATCAAATGACGGGCAGCCGGACAGTGAGTACTATTTTTTTTCAGATTTCGGAACAACTACCACTTTTAGTTTGGATGAGAGCATCCTGTGCTTTTCTAATTCTGGACAAATTCTACTCCATTTATAAGAGAAATCAGCAAGTGCAACTGGAGTAGTTCAGAGTTAGCCCAGAATTTTAGTGAATTTTACTTTACCATATCATTCAAAGTGATCCATAATGCAATAGCTACTACTCCTATATAGTTTTTTTTTAAAATAAAAATAAAAATATATATGCAACCCATACATTTATGCAACCTTGTAATAGATGTTGCCTTGAACAAATTGCTCAGTTGTGACAATAAGAGAGCTTTATGTTCTATTTCTAGCTTTGAAGATATTATATATGACTGGGCACTCTGAGAAATAAATATATTTTACTGAAGAAAGATTTTGTGTGATAGAGTAAAATTTGTTTTGGTCCTGCTTTTAGCAGATATTAAAATCGGTGTTATGTATTTAGTTGTTTACATTTGGTATATGAGTGCAGCATTTTGATGTTTTAGCATAGTGATTTTTTCTTTACATAAGACTACAATCTCTGGCCTTGGAAAAACTAGTGAGGAGTTGTTATTATTGTCATTGTTTTCAGAATGAATATTTATTTTTTGCTTATATATGTCCTTGTTCACCTTACGTTTGGATTATAGCTCTCCATCTGAACTTGACAATTTGAATCAAGCTTGTGAATTTAACCTTTCAATTTTAGATCATTGGTGAATACTATCTTTAAATAAAAATTAAAGTGCTAAATTGAAAAAAAAAGTTATCTCTACTTGGTATTTCACTTGAATTCCAAAGGGAATCTGGATATTTTTTTTTTTAAAAAAGAATACTCACTGCTAGAGTTAGATTGGATTGAATAAGATGCTGCTCTTGGATGCTGAAGTAAAAGTCTTACTTATATCAGTAGCTTCTTGCAGGTTTCAAGGTTTTTTTACCAAGTCGGATTTCTCCAATTTTTGTAACAGAGCATCTCCCTTGATTCCTTAATAACATAAGTTCAAACCATATGCTATAGTGCCGTGTTCCCAAACTTGGCAACTTTAAGACTTGTGGACTTCAACTCCCAGAATTCTCCAGCCAGCTCTGCTGAAGTCCACAAGTCTTAAAGTTGCCAAGTTTGGGAACCACTGCATATAGTGCATTTCATCCATGTTTGAACCATATGCTTTATTTATATTTATTTATATTCAACAGGTTCCCAGAATATTTATCAATGGAAACTTTGTCGGAGGTGCTACAGATACTCAGCAACTTCACAGGGAAGGTAAACTCCTTCCATTAGTTCACCAATGCCAGATCCAGAGAGAGAGAAACTCAGTACATTCATACTGAGTTTTCCTTGATTTTTTTGAATAAAATAAACCCAAATTTCACTTTACCGACATACCTGTACAAAAATGCTTCAACAACTTTGAATTGTCCCAAAATATATTGGCTAATTTTAGTAAATATTCAGGTTGCAACCACACAGGGATTCCTGGGAGAAAACCTAGCCACACAAATAAACCTTGTTACATTAAGTCAGTTCCAAGTCTTTAAGAGTTATGCCACCTGCACTCAAACCCGGAGCAATACTCCCAGGATGAGTTTGGGAGACGTATGAGCACCTGCACAATATTCAGCTGCCGTCCATAAGGATTTGCTCATTGTTTGCGGTTTCTGCAACTCCGTACTAAACTTTATAGCTCTCTTGTCTCTGCATGCTGCCTTTCTCTCAAGAAACTGGACACTGGCAAGTTTGGTGTATCAAACAGAAAAAAATGGAAGAGAGACTTGAACCAACACAAAATCAGCAGACGGAGGGCTGGAAATAAGATACTGGGAGCAGTCATTGGCAAAGGAGAAACTGAACTCAGCTTAATTCTTCTCTTCAACATATCTCCTCATCATTTGCTTCCTACACCTTGGAGCTTGAACTTCTGGTTAGTCCCAGCACACGAATCTTTATGCAGTCCAATAGAAAGAAGGCTTTTGCCTCTCTCTAAAGTTATATAGAAAGGTAATGCCAGCACATTGGCAAAACGTAGCTCTGGAGAAAGCAGAGAATATAGATTGAATAAGCCATATATATATATATAGACTAGTTTTATATATGCTGAAGTTCTACTTCAATTGTACCTCTACTTCGCTTGAACCAGTGGTGGGTTGCAAATCCTTCCAACCGAAACAGTTGGAATGGGGCTGGCGACGTCCTCATGGACGTGTGCAATGCATGCACACAAGTGCGCATGCATCTTGGCGCCTCCGCAATGCTCCAGCTGCTCCATGGAGTGTCGCGCAGGTGCTGTATGCGCCATGTCCCTGTGCAGAAGCGCAGAAGCTTTTTAAACACCGGGAAAGAGCTCGGGCGGGCGGGTGGGCCCTCTGGAGCACCATACCGGAATGGTATCCAGTGTTCCGGGCTGCCTCCGGTACGCCAGTACCAGGGTGTATCGCCTGCAACCCACCACTGGCTTGAACCTACGTGTATACAACTGTAGTTTTTACTGTCAGCCTTCCTAGTCTTTTGCTTAGCAAGTACGATTCGGTAAAATCCATGTTCATTCTCAGTTAAAGCACCATCACTGCCCCTTTCCCAGTTTAAATATGTCCAAGCTAATCTATCCTTGCCTGATTAATATTGTGGTTTATTTAGGCAGTGTGTCAGAATCGCCCTTTTAACAACACGTAACATGAAGGATTTTTTGGAATTAGGTATCTAATTCTAATTAGGTAGAAAGGACCCCATTAGCTATATGTAGCAGATGCTAGTAAATGATTTACAGATGGGTGAATATTTTCAAAAATGTTGTCTGAAGTGACGGGCATTTTTTGTGAGATATTTATATGTCTAGATTGCTAGATGACACATTTCATTATCAAAACTGCTTGAAAATGCAACCTCTGTGTGGCTTGCAATTGAAGTTTATAAAGTAGAACTTTATGGGTATATGACAAAAACAGATTGTGACTTAATGAATGTTCTTTCTCTTTGTGTAATATATTTGCATTAAACAGTACCAAATATTTTTCAGGATTTTACATTCATGTGTTACGATTAACTGCATTATAAGCTGCATGCTCATGTTCCAAAGAATGTGGTGTTTTCTTTTTATTTTCACTTTTCAAGTATTGTATCCTAAAACAGATTTACAAATTAAAAAACAATGATGGATATAAGGGATAGTACTTTAATGGCCAAATTAACATTTAATTAAAGAGAATACATCTAACTTTGTTTATATCTATAAACCATGTCTGGATTTTGTGCTGAGATTAAAAAAAATTTTTTGGGATGTATTGATTAGGCAATTTTTTTAAATAGAAGAGTGATGAGACATAGAAAGCTCACAACCTACCTATCCATCCATCCATCCATATATATCCACCCAAAGCAATTAAATGCTGAAGAACTTAGAAGCAAATGCTAAGAACAAAAGCATCCATGTGAAATTGAAGCACACATACAGCATTCATAGAACTTCAGTTCCAGCTCACCTTTTTAACCACACATTACACTAGTAAATAATGATTGTGGCATCATTAAGGGTAATTTAAATGATGAGGTATATAGAATTTATTTTGCACTTGTTCTACAAAGCATAAAACAGAAATATTTCATTTACACTTGTTTCTGAAAACAATCACTCAAAACAATGGTAATCAACAAACCCCATCTTCTCTAATGATGTTTATTAATAAAGAGATTGTTTTCTTAGTTAAAAACTTGCTACTCTTTAAACAAAAACCCAAGACTGTTTATTTTAAAATGAAAATCACATATCAAATATTCAATGTTTATTGTAACATTTTGGCAGTAAAGGCATTGTTTTGCTTTTTAAAAAATATGCAATTATGAGCCTCAGAAGAATATGATTCTAATGGGAAGAACATAGATTGAATCCTTTTTCTTCTAATAATGTTTTCCATACAGTCACTCATTAAAATTCTGATACCCAAGGGTAAAAAGAACAGAAGTGAAAGAGTAGAAAGAATATTGTGATCTGGACCAAAATATCATCTGGTAATTCAAACAATCCTTTAATTGTCAAATTATTCTCAGGGCTGTACTGTATCTAGGTCACATTGCTCCCACAAATTACCTGCTTTTGCCCTTTGGAGTCATAAACAGCATCTTGCAACTGGTTATACAAGCCAAACATTGAAATTTATTTCCATTGTACAAGTTTAAAGAAGGAAGTTAATTAGCTGACTGGCATTCTTTTTATTTTAAAAGGTATGTCTTTAATATACAAAAATTCATAGACAATTGCATATCTGCATTATTTCTTAATATCAGAATTAAGTTTTGCAAAATTCTTTGTAAAGTAATTTTTATCAATCAAACAAGTCAAAATAGCCATACTAAATTTAAAATTGTACATTTCACAATATTTCTGCTTCAACATTTCTTCAAAAACTCACTGAAGCTAAAGATGTACAATTTTTTCAAAATGTTAACAATGTAGAGTATAGCTTGCCACTTAAAGATAATACATATTGCCTATAGCACAAACAATAGATGATATACTGTGCTATCGTGGTAAATCTACAATATTGTGTAAAATAGTATTTTCAAAATGTTACATTTTTAAAATCCTTGTCACACAAAGAATTATTTCAGTAACTATACGAGCCTTTTCCAACATAGTATGTACTCTCCAGTCTCAGAATGGATCAACTTAATGCAAAAAGTAAAGTTATTCTGGGCAAAATTTACACATCTACAGATACAAATGTCTTTCATTTCTTATGATCATGTTTAAGGTTTTCTAAAGGCACACAACTTGATCAAAGTAAAATTCTTTCCCCATCACAACCAAAAATTAAATCTCACTGTGTTACAAAAAGGTCCACCCATTAATCTTTTAACAGTACAATGTGAGTATCTGGATATAAATATTAGGCAACATTTCAACTGAACTATATATTGTACAAATATGTACAGATGGCCAGTTAAACTCAAGGGTTGCATATTCCATACTATAGTAATTTTTCACTGAAGAGTTAAAACATTGGATGTTATTTTGCTGTTAAAGAGTTATTCAACTTAAAGTACAAATGCAAGATCAGTTTATTTCCTAAGGTAGCATCTTTTAACTATTCTCTGCCACTCCAGCATAGAATTCATATATTCTTCCTTGGCATTATCTGTTTACATTAAGTTATTGGCCTTCTTTCTGAGATGGTACTTTACAATGTAGGTGAACGTTGCCTTTATATTCAAGCATATCTTCATGCAATTTGGTACAATATAGTTAGATCGTATATTTTTAGTACAATGGAAACAAACGCTTGGCATGGGTTATTTATCAAGTATTCTTGATTACCTATTCAACATACATCACACAAATGCCTACCAAACAGGGTGCTCAATTTCTCATAATTATTACATATTTTGTATAGATTGCAGTGTGAAATATTTTATATTGTATTCAACAAAACAAGATAAAGGTAGTTGACTTATGACCCCAAAATTTTACTGCTAAGCAAGGTAGTTATTAAGTTAATTTTTCCCCATTTCATTATATCTCTTGCCACAGTTGTTAAGTCAGTCACTGCAAGTTAGTAACACAGTTGTTACAGTAAGTGAATCTGGCTTCCCCGCCGACTATCAGAAATTCACAAAAGGTGATCATATGACTGTGGGACACTGTAACCATCATAAATTCATCCAATTACCAAGTATGTAAATTTTGATTATGTGATCATGGGGATGCGGCAACGGTTGTAACGTGAACAACAGTCATAAGTCACTTTTTTCTGTGCCATTGGAATGTCAAATGGTCATTAAAATGAGTGGTTATAAGTGAAGGACTGCTTCTACCAGTTTGTAATGTTTGTGAGTTTTTGGCATATATAATAAAATTGTATATATCAATTCAATCCCTATAAACCTGTAAAAGATCACCAGATCAGGGTATTATTATTATGGACCTATTGTGAAAATGACACTGATTCGTTGATTGTGAATACAGAATTCAAAACCAGGCCTTTTGCATCAAAAACAGTTAGAAATAATACTCATGGTAAGCACTAAACAAATTCAACTTTCGTGATTCATTTAAATTGAATTGTGATTTAGAGAATGTACCAGAACATACATCACATAACCCCTTGGCACTCTTTGACAATATAAATCATATTTCATTTGCATTAAGCTAAAGGTACAATCTATAATTTAACTAAATGGCATTGAAGACTAATTCAAAAACCAGAACAGTAGCTATTGGGGGGGGAAAAAGTTATTTACAAGAGGCACTCCTGAAAGAGACAGCAGTGATCACTAAAACAAACACGGTCAAATGGAATTAAGCTGATGTGGGCAGGAAGTACATTTGAATGGCACAGGTGAGTTAGATGACTTTCAGATTAAGTTAAAACTTTTATGGTAAGTAAAATTAAGCAAACCCAGAGTAGTGTTAAAGTGATAGTGAAAGACTAGGAGAGCAGTGAAGACAACTGGGCAATTTGGACCCAACGTTCTCTCTTGTAGAGAGATGGGAAGTTGAATGGTGGTGGAAGCAAACAAGACAATTATGGACCAATATTGAATAGGACCTTACATGGATTAGTACACAGGATACACAAGGATATATAAGGATACATTCTTGTATTTTTGCAAAACTATCCATATTTCCTTTAATGAAACACACAGACTTTTTAAATTAATTCAGTCTTATAAAAATTAAGAGATCGATAGATAGATCAATCGATAGATATTCATTCTATAATCTATCAATTTGGATGGAATGGTCTCTGACATTGAAGGAATAACACACACAAATGGACTCCTTTCTTCTCCAATTCTGCTCTAGATAGTTGAAGAACTGTCTAAAGCAAATCAGGGTTTAGTCAAAAGGGGCAAAGAGAAGGGGGAAGTCATATATCATATTGGCTATAACCTTAAATTAACTGAAAAAGTATTTCATTGCAATTAAATCCTACAATCACATCCATTTGTAACACAGAATGGATTCAGTTTTGAAACATGCAATATTTTTAAGGTCCCACTTCATCTTGCTCTCTTTTTCATAGACAAGAAAGCTTTTCTGTCCTTCCAATACCCAGAGAATCTCTTTTCTTTCCTATTACTAACATCTATTGCCAAGAATGATTTAAATAAAGTGGGCTATTTACCATGGATACATGTAAGTTAACCCTTTCCTCTCCCCCTCCCCTCCTTGGCCTGTTCTCTCTTTCAGTAAACATGTTATGTTCAAATGTAGCAGACTCCACTTTCCTCTTTAACTCCCCCTGCCATCATTTAAGAGGGTCTCCTAATCTGCACTGAAACAGAAGTAAAATATGGGAAGGCATCCTATGGGTAAATGGGAAAACGAAGTCACCTATCTGTTATTGAAACACCTCTAGATAATTCTATCCACAGCACAGAGAAGAATGAAAAGCGTTAGGATAAGGGAATAAAATTGACACCTCATTTATTATAGCTGCTATTCTATTATTATTACCTTACTTATTCCATCACTGCTTCTGCAATATGTTTGAAAAAACCCCAATTTCATTTTAATAGTAAAACCAGCATATCTGTACAAAAAGCTAATGCCTACATTTTACTACCTTTATAACCATTTGATATCACAACACTCGCTTATTGAAAAAGTAATTTAAAGTAGATTGAACAAATTCAGAGTGAATGTATTTTAGCAGGCAAGTCAGTATAACTATTATTCAGTGGCATATAATCAACATTTTTAAAAAATGAAACAAATGTATAAAGGATAAAGAATTGTTTTATACATTAGAACCTAAATATGTTAGTTCTAGTTATGTATATATATATATTCATTCATGAGAAAAATAAATCAGGATGAAAAAAAGCTTTAGATTGTATGTAAAGATTTGAAGAAAAGCTTTGATTTCTGTATTTCCTTAAAAAAAAAAAAGCTCTCCAATTCTCCTGGGTCAGGAGGCCAGCAGCTTTTGTAATGGAAGAAATCATGGAAGTCATTTAAAATATGCAAGGAATTACGTTGTATGTTCAACATTGCAGATCAAAATATTTTTGCAGGACGTATCTTCATATTGGTCCAGGAGCTTTAAGCTAAATTCATGCAGCCTCATAGCTTTCCCACAGATCTAATCATAAATTTTCACTTTTTAAATTTCATTATTCTAGTATTGGCATTTCTCCATAAGGAACTACAAACAGCACAACTATTTGTACAGAGATTAGCAACAGCACATAGACTTATATACTGCTTCACAGATCTCTCTAAGTGGTTTACAGTCAGCATATTGTCCCCAACAATCTGGGTCCTCATTTTAGTGACCTGGGAAGAATGGAAGGCTGAGTCAACTTTGAGTCAGTGAGACTTTAAATGCTGAATTGCTGGCAGTCAGCAGAATTAGCCTGCAATATTGCATTTTAACCACTGTGTCACCACGGGTGGAAGCATGATATAAGTATAGCTATAATCCTTCCAAATGAATCAAAGGCAAAAGACCTATAAAGTGACTTAGGTCAGTTTCCACTTATACAATTAACTTATTCTATAAATCACAACTACAATTAGATCTTGGCAAACGTTTTAAAAGCCACACATTTATAATTACAATTCATATTTATGTGTAGCAACTCTTTCCAGACTCAGCAATATTTTTATACTTGTCAGAAGCTGTCTGTAGTATCTATACATCTATGTTCAACATCTCTCTAAAAAATGAGTCATAATAATAATACGAACCATGATCTTTATTTTTTTTACAGTTAAATAGAAAATGCAGTAAGAATCCTCTCAAAAAATAGACCAAAAAAAAAAACTAGTTTAGTGTACATATTATTACCCAATGTAAAACGCCTTGTGTGGCACTGTAGAAACCCTTTTAGATATTTAAATATTCTTTAATAAAGATAATTTACAGAAAGGTCAGTACAGCTACAAGTTCTTTAAAATCCATGATTTCAATAGAGCAGCTGTTGATCAACTGCTCCTTCGGTAAAGGACAGGTCAGCATTTCCAAAGCAAACTCCTCCTCTCTAACTATACCAAGAATTGATTACTGACTAGAAGGGAGATTTATTTTTATGCAAGTCCTTTCGTGCAGCATTTGGATGTAATTTGGTAAAAGCAGCATGCCTCCTATAAGTAGCTACAATTTTTAAAAAGCCCCAGAATAGTATTATTCTAGGGGAGTGGGTCTCAACCTTCCTAATGCAACGACCCTTTAATACAGTTCCTTATGTTGAGGTGACCCCCAACCATAAGATTATTTTATGTTTTCCGTATTTTTTTCGAAAATGTCTTTTCCAATGGTCTTAGGTGACCCCTGTGAAAGGGTCGTTCGACCCCCAAAAGGGTCCCGACCCACAGGTTGAGAACCGCTGTTCTAGGGCTTTTAAAAAATCGTAGCTACCTATAGCAGACATGCTACTTTTAGCAAATTACATCCAAATGCTGCACGAAAGGACTTGTATAAAAATAAATCTCCCTTCTATCCACTTCAGTATCTGCTCCAAAATGCCCAGTTCTCCAGTGCAAATTTGCTGCAGGCAGGAAAGCTGAAGTAGTTGGGGGAAGTTTAATCAATAAATCTTCCAAGCAAACAAATATTATAAGACTGTATCATCACTTTTCATTTAGTATCAGATTCTATAACCTGCAGTATAAAAATTTAGCCCAGTATATATATATTATTATTTCGGCACTTTTCATTGAGCATCAGGAGCTTTCCATAACTTTACCTGATGTGCTGTGTTTCTATCACCTCCCATCCAAGTTGGGGAAAACTGAGTCAAAGCAATTTCTCTAGCCATTTTTATCTTAAAAAAATTATGACATACATTATGTCTGGAATTATGAAAAAAATGTGAACAGCTATCATAAGTACACAGTGAAAATCTTTGGGTAGATAATTGTCACAATCTTGATTACCAACTGTTTACAAGATTATCTTGCAAACTTGAATTCATTTAGAGGATTTGGTTACAGCAGTGTTTCTCAACCTTGGCAACTTGAAGATGTCCGGACTTCAACTCCCAGAATTCCCCAGCCAGCATTCGCTGGCTGGGGTATTCTGGGAGTTGAAGTCCGGACATCTTCAAATTGCCAAGGTTGAAAAACACTGGATTACAGAATGTATGCTACTACAAATGTGGCGCTAGGCGTACATTAACCAAAGGTGGAGAAATGGCTATTTCTAAATGTTATTAAATTAGAAATCTGGCTAACGATGAGGGAGGCTGGGAATAGAGAGGAGGAAAAGTTACCCATTTAACACTGACATGTTTCTCAATTTTCTAAGTCAATGAATGGTGGTGTTTTCAAAAACAAAGGATATTTTCATATCCCATTAAGCCTGGCTTTGTGACCAATTTGTCTGCAAGCACCATATGCTCAATGAAAATGTAGCTTCCGTGACTTGGCTAGTAGAACTTAGTTAGTTTGCCGATCCTGCATTGCAGTAAACACTGCCATAATTGTTTTCCTGACTTTCCTGCTGTTGCATGTCGTATGGAATTGCAGCAAAGGAGAACTGTCCAAACCAAGAAGAGTGATTTTGTACCAAGGTGGGAATTGATGCATTGAGTTAAGAACCCTTAAATATAGGAAACTGCTTCCACACTATTGCTCATATGACACAGAAACGTTTCCTGATCTACAGGGGGTTTGGATGAGGGGACTGTAATATAGGAAGAAAAGGAACAGTAACATCGGTTTTGAAACAGTCTTCTATATAAGCTGCCTCTTTCTTGCTCAGCCCATAAATTTACTAACGTTTAACTCTTCTGTTCAATTAAGAGAGAATGTATTGTTTACATGAACTTATTTTCTAGGACAAAGATGGACAATTTGTAGTTTAGCAACATCTGGAATGGTGCCACTCCCAGCAGGCCCAACCGGAATGCCAAGTTCAGATCAGCAACAGGTTATCTCCTTACCAAAAGAATTGTGGGAACAGCTAAAATGCTGCAGCTGGTCCTAATCTTGATTTGCCTACCAGCAACGATGGTCCTTGCATTAGGGCACAAAGGAATCAACCAAGGGCAAATGGCATTAAATTGCATGATTTAGGAACAGATAATCCCTGGGCAAACCGACCTGATGGTAAGGCAGGAATAAAAGTATTTTAGGCCCTGTCTGTGAGGCCCATTCATTGAGCCGCCCGGAGTCCTTCGGGATTGGGCGGCCTATAAATTTATTAAACAGTTAAACAGAGCACAGAAATGGAGCAAGAAAGCTCTTTTTGACCAATTGTTCATGTGCAGAGTCTATATAAATTAAAATAACATATAATCAGCTGTCTTGCTCTCACAGCAACTCTACATTGAAGTAGATGTGCTGACACAAAAAGACTACTTTGCAAATGTTAATATGTAGAGAGAGACAGATCAGCCATCATGTTAAGGTGGAGCTAGAAATGTGTGTCCATTTCTGATTTATTGTATAACTGTTGTACAAGTAACCCGTGAATATGGCTAGCTTTATTAATAATCCCTATCCTTGCTTCTTTTTGCCTTTTTCTCCTCTTACTTCAAGAGATATGATAAATCACATTTTCTATAAAGAACATCAGAAGATATTCTTTATTTTCTGATATTCTGATTCTATAAAAAATAAAAAATAAACTTGCTTGGGAAACCTTCTATTATCCATTGTCAGGAAATAAAACACAGACCAGTTACACTTCAGTGTTTTTCAAAGTTGGCAATATGCTGGTTGGGGAATTCTAATTGCAGTCTACACATCTTAAAGTTGTCAAATTTGAGAAACAATGAGTTAGACCATAATGTGCACAAAACTGATGGTTTTTGCAAGACCTTTTTTAAAAACAAGAATTTAGAAGGCTAAAGTATAATCATCAAATCAATACCCCTGGGAATAATCTGTTGTTTCCAAATTTCCCATTGCTTAATAAAAAAATATTTGCTAAAAACAAGGAGAGCATCAAGTTGCCAGTGGTAAATGTTCCATAAAGTTATTGGAGGTAATGAGCAATGATAGAAATAATATAACCTGTATTGCATATGTGGCTCGTTTTTTTCCCAGCTAGTAGAATAAATTATTCCAATCAAACAGTTGTTAGCCTAAAACAGTGTAAAAAGGTGTCTCATCCTTTGATCCCCTGTGATTAACAATTCATTTTAGGAAAATAAAATCTTCAGTAATGGAACACATTCTCATAGTTAAACTAATATAAAAAAATTAAAAGCATTCACTGTATTCCACGTTTAGTTCTCAAAACCAATTGGAAACCTAGAATTATGCGTGACAGATGTAAACAGCATGTTGAGAAAGTAGAGTTTGCCACTGGCTGTTTTCACATCTCTTTTAAAATGTTAATACTCCAACAAAAGGATGAAACTTAGCCTTGGATTAATAGAGTCTTGTTAATGCAATAGACAGCTCCCCCAGTCGATTCTTCGGGAAGTTAATAGCTTTAGAAAAAGTGGGTGCTCACAGGTTTAGATCAAATCCAAAATGAAGTTTTGAATGACAACGGGTGTCCCTGTATCAAAACCACAAATATCCAGCATCCCTCTGTCATCCGGGTCTGCAACTGTAAAGCCACTGGATGTCATTCCGCAAACGATTAGCTTGGATGGAATTCCCATTCTCTACAAACAGATAAAGAGAGAGAGGGAAATGCTTTTTTTTTTCAGATTATACTTGCAAAACAACAAATCCACGTTCTTCCTGGGAAGTCTTACTTTTTATCCGTATTTTGCCAAGGTTTTTGAACCCAAACTATCCCATCTACAACTAGAGAGACCTGAATGAGGCAAATGGGGGAAATATACTGGTTTCTTATTTTAAGAAAATTATACTTTCTTTCCTTTCCGTGGTCGTCCTTTTCTTAGCACTGCTCATGGCTGCTGCTTTGTCCTTAAATAGCTTTTTTTGCATCCGATAACAAGCACTGTTCCACTTGTGGATCACTTATGTGAGCCCAGTGTACTTCTAGATCAGATCACTGTAGTGCAGATAGCTGGAAAGTCACAAGCAGTGGTGATATAGCACTAATATAAACAGGACTAAACTAGGATGCACTGAACACAATGTTAAAGAAACAACTTTATATATTTATATTTCATTCTACTTTAGGATTAGAATTATATTGTTTGCCCAAAACCACTCCAGAAAATGGTTCTCCGTTACAACATACATCGTCAGAAAGCCGGCAGCTACCTTAAGAAGGCAAAACTTTATAAAGAATCATTTCTCTTATTTTGCATTATTTAAAGAATACGTACCTCTCTATACTCTCTCAACGCTGTGGCAGGGTGAACATCTCCAGCAAAGGTCTCACTATCCATGAAGATAATAAAAACATCAACCGCTACACCTGTCTTTTGGGCCCAGAGCAATGGAGAAGAACAATTGGTGGCGCCCCTTGGAATCTATAAGCAAAAAAATAATTAAGATCCAAACAAGCAAGCAAAAATTATGTAGCTTTTTAACTGAGCAATGTTTCTGCCTGGGAACTAGCAAAGGGAATGTGAGTTGAAGTTTATATTTAAGATTGCAAACTGTGTTGTTATATATATGTTACTGGCAACGTTTGAAAAACTTGCTTTGTATAGATTGCTTAGGAAATCTATAAAAACTGTGATGTCTTGAGGCAAAGTTCAAAATGCCTGTTATTTTAATATGCTATATAAGCTTTCCATAGGCGTTGGATATATCATCTTGGCGTTATGCAGAAGGACAAGCACTATTTAGGCAGAGTATGCAAAGTCAGTCATGAAAAGGGTTAGGCTAATCTTTTATTGAAAAGATTTTGTGAAAATGAAGGAAGAAAAATAAAATTAAAAAAAATAGGATTTTCTTACCCCCCCCCCCCAAAATAAAACCAAGAAAAAAAGGGACAATGTTAACCTACTTGTTGCAACAAGGAAAGCTAGAATGGCATTTTTTATTTTATACTTTGCTGGTTTGCTTTTTGTCTTTGCATAGAGTGCCTAGAAAATATCTAAAATATTGGATGCTTCCTTCATACTTTGACGTCCCATTTTTGTCATTCTATAGATTTCTATAAAATGCCTAATTTCACACATTGATGGTAACATACAGTATATATTCTACCAGACAATCTGTGACCTATTTGGTGATTGTTTCAGAGATCTTTCCTTACCTAGATAAAGAGAATGACCATAGGTGAGCAAAAATTATATGGGGGTAGGAACAACTTCTCTATTTCCGTTGATTTTCTCATCGAATTTTGTTGCTGGAAGCCAGCAGTAAACATTGGGAACCAACCTAACCTTCTCAATGTTCACTGCTGGCTTCCAACAACAAAACTCGACCTTCCTTACTTATTCCTCCCTCCCTCCTCCCTCTTGTCTCTCCGTTTTCCTTCCTTTCTCCCTTCCTGATAAGGCTGATAAGTCACTACTGTTGAGTGGGGAAGGGAATAAGAGAGTGGCCAGAAACTGTCAAGAAATGTTGAAAGTGATGATCAAATGGTCTCAAAGGCATGGTGGCAGCAGCACTGAAGTACAAGCTACAACTTCCCCAAATTTCATTCCCTCGGAGTAAGAAGTCACAGCATTTTGTAATTTAACGCATTTAAGGTACCTTGGTTGAAAAGGTTTTACCCTCTGTTGCATCCCTCTGCTCAACTAAAGGTAGTAGACACGAGAGCTTTGATAGTATTTCGATATAGCGAATGATACTTTCCCTAGGAAGTGATCAAATGCCAGCCAAATGGGTTTTTTTCCCCCATTGAACCAACGTGAACCAACGTGATTTGCAACAGCATTGCAGCTTCAGACAGAGACCTTCCCTACTTGCCCATTGGGCCTGTTCTCTGGAGGTGCCAAACTGAGAGGTGAATAAAGGTGCATAGCAACGCCGTATTATATGCAATTGCTGTTCAGAGAGAAAACCCTCCGGCCTGAGGATTAATCTTGTGGCAATCTTTTTCATCTCCCACACGTGCACAGATAAATCCACAGGCCCACAGCATGTAAACAGACACACATATGTATGATTCTATGGCCAGGATGGGCAAAGTTCATAGAAGACTGCATGACATGAAATGGGGAAGATTACCTTGCCCAGCAATATTTCCATGTCCATTCAGATTTGTCTTTTCCTTTTTTAAAAAAAAGTTATCACTAAGAGATCTTTCATAAATCCATGCTGATTTCCATCCTATTCTGCATCCATCCTTAATATCTTAATCTTACATTAAAGTTCTTCAATGATTTTGCCCTAATCTCTTCTGTGTTACATTTCCTTCTATAAACCCACGCACTAATTTAATAATGCATTTGATCACAAAACCAATCTGATCACTTCCCAGGGAAAGTAGCATTCATTATATCCACTGCCGCAAACAAATTTACATGCTCTGTTCTATTAAGCCAGCTTATTTTTTTTTACTCAACCCCCTGTAACTCATCATGTAATATAATATATTGTGCCTTCAAACTATATACTAACATACTTCATAAAACATAAAACCAAAGCATATCCATACACTCTTTACATCTCTTATTAGTCATCCCTTTTTCATTTTTCTTTCTAATGAAGTTTAGGTACTGGATTACTTATGCCAACGTGCTTTCCTTTTTATTATGGTATTAATATTATCATGTGCTATATGCAAGTAATGAGAGTCACTTGAAAATAAAATGCTTCCATGAAAAAGAATTACGTGTTTAAGACTTAGTAAAATATTTCTTTTCATGATAAATATAATAACTATTCTCATATAAAACTACAGGGTGACTTTAAGAATATTAGATACCTCGGACATTTTCTGTAATACTTGTGGTAAAGTCATATCCTCAGTCACAGGACAAGGAACTATATCATGGGAAAAAGCAACGATGTGGGAATCTCTTTCAGTGCGTGCCACAACCTGGTAAAAACCAAATGACCAAAGGTAAAGATAGAATGTTTTTTTTCTGTTTCTTGAATTAAAAAGCATTTCTGTAACTCAAGCTTTCTGTGGCTTTCAAATGTGAAATAGCTGTTTCAAAAAAAAACTTTTCTATTCTAATTCATCCCTCTTCTAACTCTCTGCCATATCCTAGTCCTTTCTCCAAGACTTTAAGGTTTTCTTTTTAAATCTTCTTTGGATGCAAGTGTTGAAAATCAGATTACCAATGATGACTTCTGGACTTGTAGAACAGGCATTGATCGGATGCATCATCTTGGCCAAATACTTTAGTAGGGGAGGCATTAATCACTGTTAAAATGATTCGTTGCCTGCTCTAACTTGAGCAACAGGAGAATTATGCCTTGTAGACAAGTGGCATGACAAGACAGGGTAGTAAGGCATGGAATGAATGAAAGGGTATCAACACGTGGCCAACTACTGTCCAGCAAGTGACTTAAATTCTAAACACACAGAGACATTTAGGAGTCATCAGAGGAAATATATCCTTGTATATTTTTGGGAAATGTTGACCACGTTATCCAAAAATAAAAAGGTTAAATAAAACAGATGCTTGATTTATATCTGAAGAAATAAGTAGAATAGGAATTAATACCTATGTAGATTTTACATGGATAGGTTTGTTACTGTTTTGTTTTAAAATCATATTATCATGAGGAAGATATCCTGGGTTTTACCAAATTACAATCTATTGAGTCTTGGAAACAATGCCATCACATCCCAAAATTTGAGACCAAAAAAATATCATAAAAATGAGACATTTCTTACCATGCACATTGTGGCAGCAATGGTTCTAGCATTCAGCACACTACCAAAAACCTTTTGCAACATAGAATCACTAACATCAACTGCAACTAAGATGCGCTTTCCCATTGGTTCTAATGCCTAAGGAAGAGGCAATGAGGGGAAAGAAGTAAGAACAAATGTTTTTTAATTTTTTTTTTATTTCATGACTTTTCATAGCTGTGAGTGATTTCAGAAGCAACAGTATTAATCGAAGAAAAACTAGTTGATGACAAAAATAATTTAATATACAGACATATGAAAAGAGGGTCCTAATCCAACACTACTACCACCTTTCCCCAAATGTAGATTATAGCGGAGGCAACCCAGCGTAGCATAATTTGTAGACTAAATCTCCATGCATCTTAAGCGAGGAAAAAAGGAAGACTACAGCCTAGATCAGTGATAGCGAACCTTTTTTGGCTCGCGTGCCAAAAGCAGGGGGAGTGCAGAGGGGTCGTGCACGGGCGTCATACCCATAATGCTTTGCACACGATCCCAGTGTGCATGCGCACATGACCAGGCTCCGGAGGGCAAAAAACGACCCTATGAGCAAACCAGAAGTCACTTCCGGGTTGCTCGTAGGGCTGGTTTTAGCCCTCCGGAGCGTTCAGGACTCTTCAGGAAGCTTCCCTAAAGGCTCCGGAGAGCTAAAACCGGCCCTACGAGCAACTCAGAAGTTCGTTCCTGAACATCCGGTTTGCCCGTAGTGGTGGTTTTTCATGCTCTGGAGGCTTCAGGGAAGCTCCTGAATCCTCCAGAGGGCGAAAAATGGCCTCAAAAGCAGGCCAAAGTCAGCTGGCCTGTTCGTGCATGCGCACTGGCCAGCTGACAAGGCAAGCCTCGTGTGCCCTGACAAATGGCTCCGTGTGCCACCTGTTGCACGCGTGCCATAGGTTCGCCATCACGGGCTTAGATTGTTATGGACTGCTCATAAGAATACTAAAAAACAAAAATCCTAGGAACATTTACCATCCTGCTTTTAGTGTTTATTGCCAAAATCAGAACTTCCCTAAAGAGATATTGCTTGAATGCTTCACTTATACTGAAAGTAATGAAATATTCATAACATTACCTTGAAGGAGTTGTAAAACGAAGTATTTAGAGCTTCCAAGATGTCCTTCTCTGGTTGCCAGCGCAGTTTCCCCCGATAACCACGCTCTCCTTTATAGTTTTCTAATGCAACCAAAATGTGGAATGGGTGTATTTGAGCCTAAAGAGTTTTGGAAAACAGACTCCAAATGTTAATTTCTCCATCCAGCGATAATTTCTGTTAATTAAGTATGTTATGAAATCACTGATTCTGGAATAGAAAATTATATTTAAGTATTCTGAATATAGTGCAATACAACTTTTTAACATGTTTTCAGAGTATTATTGCTAGAAATAACTGCTACAGTATCCCTTAGATTCCCCCCCCCTTCATCTAAGTGAGATTAAAAAAATATTTTTTTCAGTTATTAATTCAATGGTTTATTTTGTTGGTTTAGAGAAATTCAAATTTATATGGTGACCTCACAAATTTGGTTTGTAATCAGAACACTGCTTTTTTATTCTTTGCCTTCTGTAAATCTATTACCCAAGAAGAGAAATCCTTTCATATGACAGTCAGCCAATGTTCCCGACAAAAGGATATTTTTGTACAATATTATTTTTTTGTAATTTTCACTTTTTCAGCAAAACAAGGATTCCTCTAGTTTAACTGTAGAGAAAACATTCAAAAAGTTACTGACTTAAAGGAGTACTTTTATAAAAAAGATGAATGGAAAGAAAGATAATGAGCATATTTAAAAATCTTTTACATGTAGTCCTTGACTTACAACCAATAATTTAGTGACCATTTGAAGTTGCAACAGTACTGAGAAAACTGACTTATGACCAATTTTTCACACTTACGACCATTGCTGTATCCCTGTGGTCATGAGATCAAAATTCGGATGCTTGGCAACTGGCATGTATTTTTGATGGTTGCAGTGTCCCAGGATCAAGTGATCACTTTTTGTGACTTAGTGTCTTTGTTGAGTCAATGTGGAAGCCTGGTTCACTTCACAACCACGTTACTTACTTAAAACTGCAGTGATTCACTAAAAATAGTGGCAAGGAAGGTTGTAAAAGGGGGTAAAGCTCACTTAACCTTGCTTAGCAATGGAAAGTTTGGGCTCAGTGGTGGTCATATGTTGAGGACTACCTTCCTTCATCAACTAGAGTTGCCAACTTGGATAAATCAACGTAGGACAGGTAATTTTGAATCAATGAGAGAATCAAGATCAACACTATTAAATAACTAGTTCTGATTACTTAATCCACTTAGTTTGGCGAAAGGGTTTAGGGCACCAGGAAAGTCCTAGTCCTGCCTTAAGTAGAAAGCCAGAGGGCTGATTTTGGGTCAGTTGCTCTCAGCCCAAGGAAGACAAACGACTCCCAAAAATCTTGATAAGAAAACTGCAGGGATATGTCCAGGCATCAGCACAGGTCAGGAATGATTTGGAGGCACACATACATAGACACACAACCCCCTTTAATTACCTGTCAAATAATTCACCCCGTCTGTAAAAGAGTGATAGCTTCATTTGTTAGGCAGATAAAACTAGGCAAAATAGACACTGAATAAAATGCAAATTGATACAATATTATACTTTAACTCAACTGAAGGTCGATGACATATAACATTATCCTCTATCATATAAAATTGGAAAATAAATAAATAGTTATTTGTTTTAAGGCAACCATAGAATTCTGGGAAAAAGATTTTAATGGGTTTTTTTTTAAGTAACTAGAATCCAAGTGTAATTCTGGCGGCAGTCTATTCCAAAGGAAGAAGGGGGAAAAAACCCTGGAAACAAATAAATTTTAAAAAAAGGTCTTAGTCCAGATCTGACAATCTTAATCAAGAGGTGGCTATTCCAGTATTTGGCACAAACAAGTAACTCTAACCCAATAAATTTGGTCAAGAGCAGAGATAAAAGAGTCACCAGCAGATCTTTCCAATAAATAGATGTACAAGTACTCCTCAACTTACAACAGTTCATTTAGCAACCATTCAAAGTTACGACAGCACTGAAAAAAGTTACTTATGACCAGGGGTGGGATTCAGCCGGTTCGCACAGGTTGGCGAACGGGATGTTAATTTTGCATTCGGTTCGCCAAACTGGTTGTTGCAAGGACCATCTGGCCTTTCCCACCCCTCCCCTCCCAGGAGCCTCCAAGGGACCCGTTTATCATGCCTGGTAAGTGAAGGGAGGGCGAAAAACAGGCCTCCCAGAGGTCTGGGAACAGGCTCGCTTCCAGCCTCCGGAGCAGAGGGGAGGCCGTTTTCACCCTCCTGGAGGCTGGGGGAAAGCCTCCAGAGCCTGCGGAGGCCTACTGGGAAGTACGAAAACAGGCCTGTTTCCGGCATTCGGAGGGCCAGATTCACTTAACAACCATGTTACTAATTTAACAACTGCATTGATTTACTTAACAACAGAGAGATCGTAAAATGGGGCAAACTTCATTTAACAAATGTTTCACTTAGCACTTAGAAACGTGCTCAATTATGGTTGTACGTTGAGGATTACTTTTTATACAGTGCATGATTTGTCAACTCTATCAATTGGTGCTATTATCTTTATTTAATTCCTAACCACTCTAACAACTGTCAATAGAAAGAGTACAAGCAAAAAGAAAAAGAAAAAAAGAATGTCCATAATAGTACAAACAACATTCTTGACAAAAGTAAAAAAGAATAATGAAATCCTGTGGTCTAGTTAATAATGCATGTGTAACACAACAGATTCAATGGCCTTCAGGAAAGCTGTAAAAACCTGCCGGCTGTTCCAGCAGGCCTGGGGCTGTTGACCTCATTGTTGAGGTCCAGCCCCGAATTAGAATGAATGCATGTGGCTTTGTGATTTTAAACTTTTTTTCCCCTTTTTTCTCCTTTTTTCTTCTTTGTTTTTGTAAGCCGCCCGGAGTCCTTCAGGATGGGGCGGCATATAAATTTTGATAATTAAATTAAATTAAATTAAATTCTATAAACATTTATTAAATGCAAGCAACAGAATTCAATAGCTTTTTGTATAAAAAAGCTTTTTTTAATATAGAAACTTCTACACAAATACAAAGTAAGAAATAAGAAAACTGTTGATGGATATTTGGACTCGTTTTACATAAGCATATTCTAGACCAGCCTTTTTCACACGGCATTCAATAGGAATCATAGGAGTTCACAAGAGATTGTGATTGAAAATTAAAACAATTTTTTTCAGCTTTGCATACTATGTAATACTAGCAATCATAGTAGTTGAAATTTTTACACAATGGATCTCAGCTTTTTATATTGCATTTAATTTTATATCAATTTTCCTAATATAAATAGCATTAAGTACAATCAATTTACAATATTCATTTCCCCCCCCCAAAAAATCTACTAAAACTACTTTTAGAAAAATTAAATCCTATTTTGTCTTAATCCAGTTATTCAAAAATTTATTTTCTAAGTTTTTAAAATTTATGAAAAGGAAAAAAAAAGATTAATTTCAACAAAAGTTAAGTTAAACACAACCATATTTTTTTCCAAGAAGGAAGGCTAAAAAGTCATTTTTAGTTTCAAATATACTCTTGGACATATCATTCTTCATTATCATCTTGTACACTAGAAATTTGGATAGAAATTATAAAAATGTGGAATATTTTAAAAGGAAAAACTGAACTTTCCTCTTTCCATATTACTGACTTGCATTAGAGCTAGTGTCCTTGTGGTGGAGGGGAAGCCAACACGAAGAGTACAGTAATGAGTTTGCCAAAATACATCCACAGAAAAAAAGATTTAAAAAACTTTGACAACTATTGTTGGATTATTATATCTACAATTCGCGGATCATGTTAATGTGTTATTATCTGTAAACACAATAATTTTATGCAAGGAGTTCTGTCAGACCTGACAATTATTACAAGGCTTCCCTCCATGCATATCGGCTGAATGATTGCAGAGAAGAACATCTCTAATAGCGAATCTTTCTCTCCTTTGACTATTCCCTTTGTAAGTCCAACCCCTAGTCCATTACTAAATATTTGGGATATCCTGTAGTAGTGTTATTTCTTAGGCATTTATACAATGATTTATTACAACGAAGCTTAATTTTCAAAACTGATTTCTTTTAAAAGATCAATTAATAAGTATAATATTTGTCATTGTACTTAAATACAATGAAATTGATTTTAACCTCACTGGTGCAAAATTATACCAGAAACTAAAAAAGAAAGAAAAAGAAAAAAAATATCGTGTGCATGGAGTGATTGTGGTTGTAGTCCAAGGATAGAAACTATCTTTAAACCTTTAAATTAATAGAATATTGCTAGAATACAATGCAGATAAGAAATCAGCATGAAAAAATCTTTACCTTTTTAAGAAGTTTTTCATTTTTTAGTTTTTCACAAATCATTGCTACCTCTGAGCTTCCTGGTTCAAGAACAAAATTTGCTGTCATTTTTCCCAAGTTCTTCAATATTGCTGTTACGGGCATGTTCTGTAGCAGTGCTTTCCAGACCTTGTACAAAATGAAGTTCAAAGAAAAGAAAAATCATGTTTAAAGAAAAACACACACTCAGTATAAATATGCATAACTGTACAGGAATCACGTAAATGTATTTATTCATTCATTCGCCACATTTCTATGACATCTACCTCATCTATGTGACTCTGGGCAGCTCACTATAAAAACATGTCACAAAATATAAAAGCATAAATAAGAACAAAGTTAAAAAACAGAGCGGTCTCTCTTCCCACAACGCAAAATTATTTTAATCAACAGGATCCCCCCAATATGCCCTCCCCACCTGAACAGGTTGAATGGCACAACACAATTTCGGCAAACAAGATAGTTCCTCAAGTAACGTAGCCCGATTGCCCTGAAGCAGACATGTAAAAACCTTAGTTTTACATGTATTGTAAATTGTTAAAATTTACTATAAAAACAGAGGAGTGCAGAAAACAACATTATATATAGTGTGTTTCAAAGTATTAATGTTTCTCTAATTTCCTTACCTCTTTAGATTTCAAGTGACTTGTCAGAAGGTGTTCTCTAACTAAACTATGCTCTTCTATCAAATGAATCACTTCCAGTTCATCCGTTGTGTGCTTTACCCTCTCCACTGCTTCCAAATACTTCAACACTTTTTCAGCCTCAGCAGAAAGCCTGCTCTCTTTATAAGCCTCCTGGACTTCCTTCCATCCCTTCATTACATACTTAGTGACAATGGCCAGGCCTGTTGAAATACAGTAAGTTTTATTTCTAATTTAGAACATGTTTTAAAAAAGAAATATGAACTCTAAAATAACGTAAAATTATCAAATATTAGGCTGGAAAGTGTATTTATTTTGTATTTGGTATTTTCTGCATCTTTGCAAAACTAGCAATTTATTTATATATTACCTTCTGTATATATTACCTTGCTATATAAATAGTGGAAGCTAAGTGTAAAAACAAAAAGAGTACAGTAGTGTTACTATATAATTAAATAGATACGGGCACCTATAGTGCCTTTTTCATAATTTATTCATCTGACCCTCAGTCTTTAGGATTGCTGATTGTGGGCATTCTTTCTGCTATAATTCTTTTATTGCTTTTGTTATTTCTGGCAGTAACAAAAATTACTTTTAGAAAACTGTCAAGGTTTTGATTTAAAAAATAAAACTGTTACATATTCTCCCTATTATAAAATAAAACAATACAGCTTGTCTGTGACCATAATTAAACCTAAATTTTCTGTTGCTAAGCAAAACAGTCATTTTGCCCCGTTTTATTATCTTTCTTGCCAGTTGTTACACAAATCACTACCGTTGTTAAGTTACTGAGTTGTTAAATGAACCTGGCTTTCCCATTAACTCTGCTTGTCAGAAGGTCGCAAAAGCTGATCATGTGACCCCGGAACACTGCAACTAGTCAGTTGTCAAGAGTCTGAATTTTGATCACATGATCATGGAGATGCTGCAATGGTCATTAAGTGTGAAAACTGGTCATGTCACTTTTTTCAGTGTCACTGTAACTTCAAATGATCGTTAAACAAACTGTTCTAAGTTGAGAACTACCTGAAGATTAATAAGTTTTTTTTTTTTAAAGTGGACATGTATTCTTTCCAATATTTAACACTTTTTATACGTCTGTCTGTTTTTCTCCCCACAATTAGAGTTATGGCTTACTCCCATTTCTCATGTATTCTTTCCAATATTTAACACTTTTTATACGTCTGTCTGTTTTTCTCCCCACAATTAGAGTTATGGCTTACTCCCATTTCTCATGTATTCTTTCCAATATTTAACACTTTTTATACGTCTGTCTGTTTTTCTCCCCACAATTAGAGTTATGGCTTACTCCCATTTCTCATGTATTCTTTCCAATATTTAACACTTTTTATACGTCTGTCTGTTTTTCTCCCCACAATTAGAGTCATGGCTTACTTCC